TAGGGCTTAAGGGTTTAGCGTTTTAGGGTTAAGGGTTTAGGGTTTCAGATTTATTGTTTAGGGTTGAGGGTTTGGGCTTTAGGGTTTAGGGTTTAGGGTTTGGGCTTTAGGGTTTCGGGTTGAGGGTTTGGGCTTTAGGGTTTAGGGTTTGGGCTTTAGGATTCAGGGTTTGGGCTTTAGAGTTTAGGGTTTAGGTTTTGGGCTTTAGGGTTTAGGGTTTAGGATTTGGGCTTTCGGGTTTTGGTTTTAGGGTTTTAGGGTTTGGGCTTTAGGGTTTTAGGATTCAGGTTTTAGCCCGACGCGCCTCCAGTTGATATAGGGGTCTAACTAATCACCAATACCGTTTTTGGGGGGGTTCCTTATTGTACGTAATTATAGTACAATATACCCTTATTCTGATTATTATATAGGGCCCCTTGATTACAGAAGCTGAAGGCATCTCGGGCTAAACCCCGAAACCTAAGGCCCGAAAGCCCTAAACCCTAAACCCTAAACCCTCTGAAACCCTAAACCCGAAAGCCCTAAAACCCCTAAAACCCTGATCCAGGTCATTTTCAGTTGGGTAGTTACCGTTATAGGAGCCTTATAGAAGGTTTGTATACCTGTTGGAAGCCTTATAGAAGCTCTATATACTCTAAACTCCCCACCTGTAGTTTCCTTTAGCTAAACCTTGCACCCCAGTTTAGGGTTTATAGGGTTTAGGGTTATATATGATCAAGTTATATACAGTTTCGAGTTTAGGCTTTAGGGTTGCAGCTTAGGGTTGGGGTCCCTAAACCATAGACTCTAGATCTGGGCCCAAAAGTACGGAGAATTAAGGCCTTTTGCAGGGTCTTGGGCAACTATGTTACCTACATTTGAGGGGGTTTCGGTGAACCCTAGACCCTACGTCTTGGAGGACGTGCGCCCGGCCGAAGGTGAGCATCTCGCAACTGTCTTGGCTGCGCCCCTGGTGGCGCGCATGGCTCAGGCCTTTGGGTACTGCTGATGATATAAATCCTGCGTTTCAGGGTTTAGGGTTTAGGGCGTTACCTCAAGGCCCCTAAACTATGGGGATTCTGGCCTGATTATCGGTCATGCAGGGATGTATAATATCATCAACCGTGGTAAATGGCGAGACTCGCAAAGCAGGGCTCACGCATGTACCTAGCTTATCGGGTGTAGTTGGGAATCGGGATTCCCAATTTCAATCGCTGTTTGTGTTGACAGGGCGCTAAACCCTAAACCCTAAACCCCAAACCCGAGACTTTTATGGGGCTCTACAGGGGGGTTTCGGGACCAAGAGGGTCGACTCATCCTTTTCATCATGTCCTCGTACACTAGCCGTCACTAGCCTACCTTAAACTACCATTACCTATGTGTTGTAGGCTCTTATTATCCATCCTAATATGATGTTTATAGGGACCCTAAACCGTGAATCCTAAACCCTAAACGGCAAACAACCCTAAAACCCTAAACCTAGGCCTACATGACCATTGAGGGTTTAGGGTTTCTTTAGAGGGCTTCCTGCTGAAGAATCGTACCGAATATATTGGCCTCAAAACAATTACCTACATTATCTCCGGGTTCCTCATTATGGAAAGAATCCTGGGTCCAAGTACTCCCTGTTCTAGGACGTTGGGTCCATTTTGGGTACCAAAAGCCATTTTTAAGGACTACTTGGAGCCGTGGGGTAAGGAAATATGGAAGGACACCATGGCAAGTGCCGAAGACTGTCTGGTGCTTAGTGAATGGGGGAATGGATCCCTATGATAGTCCCTTAAGGTTTCCTTATAGTAGTCCCTATACCCCATTCCCCCATTCCCTACGAAGTACCAGACAGAAGATAGTAGTGTTAGGTTGCTTGAACTTCGCAAGAAGGGCTTTGGCACCTAAACCCTAAACCCTAAACCCTAAACCCTAAACCCTAAACCCTAAACCTTTTTATTTGGGTCAAGAAACTCCCATCCTAAATGCGACCGAGGACCCGAGGCTACTGGCACCCCAAGCCCTCTTAGGGTTTAGGGTTTAGGGTTTAGGGTTTAGGGTTTAGGCTCTAAACCTCTGAGGCCGTGCATGAATACATAAGCTCCAACCTGGGAGACACAAGTAGTTTTTTACAAACGTGACAGACGTAGGTAAGCCCTGAACCCGAAACCCTACTGTGGGCCCACAGTAAACCCTAATCCCTCGTTTCGGGTAGGTTAGTTAAGTTCAGCTACCCCGTAGCACCCGAAAGTGCAACTTGTTAGGCCCAAAGTGGCGAGCCGTCGCTGCTTTGCGAAATTTTCGGATACTTCGAGGCTGGCTGTGAAGTACACTAACCCTAAGGATCCAAGTACCCAAATAGTAGAGTTTCAAGGTCCAACAACCATTCAGAGTATGGATTTGGGGACCTAAAACCCTACTATTTGGGTACTCGGACCCTCTGGGTAATGCAGAACCATCAAGCTGTCATGAGGGTCGGGAAGCATTCTGTAAGTTCTTTATGAAATGGCTGGCTGATGTAGACAATAGAACTTTGGATAATGGGACGCAGTTGGCTACGGGCCGTAATAGCAGGATCCATTGAAATCCTTATGAAGGGAGGGGTGATAAGTCAGAGCTCAACTGTTCCTTTACGAGAAACCCTGCGCGCTTGGGGTGTAAGGGTTCGTTGGAGGGCTGGTTAGATGGTATTTCCTTGTTTGGAGTGGGTGCACCTTAGGTAGAACGAACCAGGGTGCCATTGTGAAAGGGATGCTGGTAACCTACGTGCAGCTTCGGGTGTTTACTATAGGGGCCTACATACTTACCAATACTATCATGGGGGTTCGTTCTTATAACTATGGTCTAGTAGACCCCAAAACCCTATTCTAATAATTACTATCATGGGGTTCGATATTTTAAGCATGGTATAATATACCCCAAAACCCTATTCTAATTATTAATGCCCTAAACCCTAAGCCCTAAACCCTAAATCCTAAGCCCTAAACCCTACACCCTAAACCCTAAAGCCTAAACCCTTAACCCTGCCTGCCAAGAAATGCCGAGGGAGCTCCACGACTTCGGCTCCAAATCGAAGACCCCTCGATCCCAGTCTTCCTTCGGGGGTTTAGGGTGTAGGGTTTATGGCTTTAGGGTTTAGGGTTTAGGGTTTTAGGGTTTTAGGGTTTTAGGGTTTAGGGTTTGGGGTTTTTATGGTTTAGAGTTTAGGGTTTCATAATTCTCAAGCAGGGTTGAGGGTAGATTCCCTACTTCTGCCCCCCAAACTACCCTGTAATGTCGCGACATTTCCTATGAATGCAAAACATGAGCACCTTTAGAGGAGCCCTTAATAGAAACCCTTGCATATGGGTAGTTCTCTAAATTTGGGTCCCTGTTGGAGGTCCTTTTATAAGGGTGCCGTACTATATTGGGGGCCTAAAAAGGGACCCTATTTTAGAGAACTACCCATATAAGATCCCTAAACCCTAAACCCTAAACCCTAAACCCTTAACCCTTAACCCTTAACCCTAAACCCTAAACCCTAAACCCTAAACCCTAAACCCTAAACCCGAAAAGCGCTTAAAGCCCTTCAACGGGTCCTTTCGGTGCCAGCGTAAACACCGGAGCCCTCCCGGCCCCGAAGCTTTTGGCCTTAAGCCGCTCTTTGACAAAGTTCAAGAGTTCAGGGTTTACGGTTTAGGGTTTAGGGTTCAGGGTTTAGGGTTCAGGGTTTAGGCTTCAGTGTTTAGGGTTTTAGGGTTTAGGGTTTAGGGTTTAGGGCAAGGGACCTGAAAAAGTAAGTCCACACGGCGATTGAAACAGTTTAGGGTTTAGGGTTTAGGGCTTCAGCTGAAGAACCCCTGGAACAAAACAAAGTTGGCAGAAGCCTCACAAGGCCATTGACCTTCAAACTCTCCAAGGAGTCGTGCTTGAAGACTTTTGTTGTAAGGCTTGTGGGCACAGAGGCCAAGATTTAGGGTTTAGGGTTTAGGATGTAGGGTTCAGGGTTTAGGGTTTAGGGTTTAAGCAAGCTATGTAGCACTTTTGCGCTTGTCTGATCCTCAGACTACCAAAAACCAGACCTCAAACATCCTCAAACCCTGAACCCTGCAGCGCCATTGGAAGGAGCCACAGCAGCTAAACCCTAAACCCTAAACCTTCAAAAACCCAAAGCCACACTGCACAGGTCCGCGGACACGGTCGTCAGTCGCATGAGTCTCACTGCATCATTGTGATGCGGAGACTCGGTCTGGGACTTGAAGTGGGTAGGGTTTAAGGTTTAGGGTTTAGGGTTGTTCTCTAAGTTAGGGTTTGTTTAGGGTCCTGTTCATATCAAGTGGGTAGTTCTCTAAACTAGGGTTTTTTTAAAGGATGCTTTTCATAACGGTGCCAACACCTTTGCGGACTTAAAAAGGGACCCCAGTTTAGGGAAGAACCCTTATAGCACCCTCATCGAAACCCTATACCCTTATAGTACCCTTACGGAAACGCTACGGAGACCTTTTATAGATCCCTTTAAGGAGCCCCAAAAAAGGACCCTCATTTAGAGAAGTACCCTTATCGTACCCTTATTATTGTCAGAGGATCTTTAAACAGATCCCTCCTAAGAAATCCAGAAAAGGGACCCTAAATTAGAGAACTGCGAAAGTGTCGTCGAGGGTCTTGTAGGCTTGAGGGCCTTGAGCGTTTGAGATGTAGCAAGTGCACAGTTCAGAAGGGTTTAGGGTTTAGGGAACCCACTTGACACTGCTTGAAGCATTGCACCCCAGCTGAACTTATCCCCCAAACCCTAAACCCTAAACCCTAAACCAAAAGGTCCAGAGCCTTGTAGAGTTCCATTTCCCTCAGCCCGAAAACTTTGACCGGGCCGCAAAAGAATACACAACCCTACAGCCACCCTACTTCGTGCAGAGAGACCTTGAGTCATATGAAGGGACCCTCTACCATTCCTTTATTGTCTGTACTTTGAGGTACATCGCCCCTATTTGAGGGACAGCGGGCTATTTTGTGTAAACCACCGCAAACCCTAAGAGCCTAAGAGCACTAAGCTCCAGGAACCTACTACAGATCACCGACGGTTGGCAGCTTTTCGACATCAAAGGCGTCGGAGCCCACAGGAACTTGCCTCCAGCCAAGGAAGAGAGCCTTGGTATCAGGTGGACCTGAAACCCTCAGAATGTCAGGGCTTAGGGTTGTTTAGGGTTTATAGGGTTTATAGGGTTTATAGGGTTTATAGGGTTTGTAGGGTTTAGGGTTTAGGGTTGTCCTAAACCTTCAGGGTCCATGCCACCCGGAGAAATCGAACACCATACACCGGCCAGAACCCTGAACTGTCGTTCCTTTTTGGATCGTCCACTTGACATGGCCACTGTGTGATCCCATAGTCTTGAAAAGCAAGGCGACCAAAAGTAAGTGTTACACATTACACGGAGTCTGGGTAAACGCCTGTGGAGCCCTACACAGCCGTCTAAAACGAGATAGCCGTCCTTGCAAAACTTTATGACCTAAAAAAGGACCCGACTTTAGAGAACTGCCCATATGATTTTTTTTTACATACCCTGCCTAAACAGCACCCAAAGAGCCTCTAGGCGCCGACAAAACCCTATAACGGGTTTAGTGTTTAGGGTTTTAGTTTTTTAGGGCGCCTTGCAGAAACCTTTGTAAGACCAAAGGAGCCTTTGGAACCCTACCAACACACTAAAACCCTCTGAAGCCCGTCACCAAGCTCCCTAAACCCTAAACCCTAAACCCTAAACCCTAAACCCCTAAACCCCTAACCCCTAAACCCTTCAACCCTAAACCCTAAACCCTGAAGCCCCAAAGCCCTAAGTTCTAAACCCTTTTGATGACCAAAGGAGGGAAGAAGCCAAAGCAAAAGTCCAGTGGGACGGCGGCTTCCTCGCCGCCTTTTCGGGTCTCCCCGTCGTCCTCTCAAAGCAGGAGAGGGCTTCTTTGAGGTTTCAGGGGTGTTTAGGGTTTAGGGTTTTGTTGGGGTTTAGGGTTTAGGGTTTAGGTTTTCGGGTTTAGGGTTTAGGGTTTGGAGGCTCTGCAAAAGCTCCTACTGATCCTATTGTAGGTAGGTCTTGAGGCACGAAG